TTTGTATCTGTGTATTCAAAGTGGTTGGGATAGATATATAGTTACATTCTCTTAATGAATAGAATGATTTGTTCTAATGGTTTTTGTAAATAGGATCTCAGTTCCGCATCTTGTATAGCAATTAACCACTAAGAAGTATGTATGCAATGTGTTAGTTATTGAAACTGTGCTACCGATTTGATTTGAAACTGTCTCATTGCTATATGTTTATCAATAAAGTTTTGAAAAGAAAAAAACAGCAAGATGATTCCTGAAAAGTCTGTCCTGAATTCTACATTGAAGCATCACAAGGCTTTTAATTGCAAAGAAACAGACACCCATAACCAAAGGAAACCACCTTTTTATGTATGGAGTTAGGGCCTTGCTTGAATACGCACATTTAGCAAAGACTGCATAGATGGCTACATAAGATAATAGGCATATAATGAGTTTCTTGATGAAACAGAAGTTTTTTTCAATTCCTTTCATGACAGGAAAATCATAGTTGTGCTTTTTCAGGTCATAGACTTTATGTTTCCTGCAATTTTGGTCACAAACTGAATTGAACCACTACTTAATCCAATGTTCCTATAAATTTATCCTTGTCATTAACTGCAGAATTTAATGAGAGTGTCATCCAATTCAGTTTTTTTAATTGATATTTTGTTTTAATTTTTTATGTTTCAACGAATTAATGCTGTTGGAATAAAGGTCTGAGACAAGGTAACAATTCAGTAATGAGTGTCTAAAAAGAAAAAGGTGGCACATTAGAATCCAATGTAATTTCTGTGATCTTTACATTTTTCACTGAAAATAAGAATGAGGGAAACACCATTCTAACTAAATACAAACCGCATTTTGAAAGCCAAAACTCACAATCCACAGGGACATTTATGATATTCCCTGCACAACCCTGATTCAATGGGGAAGCCCTGTACCTGTGATTGGACGTTGGAATTTGAAGAAACTTGACATTCCTGTCAGGATTTTCATTGTGAATCTCTTGACTATGACCCATCAGGTTAGGGGAATGAAGTAGGGAAATAGTAAAATAGGGTTTTTTTAGGTGTTTGGTGTAATCCTAACTAGAAGTTAAGAATTTAATAGAAAACTTGAACTGGAAAGAGTCTAATGGACAAGAGTGGAGAAGGTTGAAAGGCAGGAAACAGCATTTGCACTTGCACCAAAACCATAGAAAGAGCTGACAAGCTGAGTATAAAGGAAGTCAAGAGCACAAACGCTTAGCACTTTCAGAATTCAGCGGAAGGAGAGCCAGGGCTAACTAACTCTATGGAGGCATGGTACAAGATATACATTCACACCTATGCACTAACACATATAGATTCATGTACATATGTATTCTCTCCAGGATCACTATTTTATCACTCTAGTGGCATGGTATTGCTACAGTAGACACTCACATGACTATTACCTATCTGAATATTGAGTATAAATGAGGTTTCTCATAAGCAACCTGCTGCCCACTTTGGAGAAAAGACCCTTTCAGGGTCAAGTAGACAAAAGATAGTTATCCAAAGCCCTCCAAACTAATGACATAACAAAGGGGTTTTGTGTAATACAAAGACAGCTGTGAGAGCCAATGCAGGTATGGCAAGTTCCCGAGGGGGCAAGGAATCCTTAAAACCCAATAAAGTTAGCCAGGCACAAAGGCCCTGAATTGTTGTCTAAAGAGCCCACCCCGGTTATTGTCAGGGTTGTTAGTTATCTTTCTTTTCCCTTTTCAATAAATTATCTTGCTATGTAAATTTTGTATCTTTAATCTGGTATGTTACTGAGTTTATGATCCCTGAGTATTTCTCACCTTAGCATAGTATTGCTCACTCAGAATGTGTCATGCTATTGCTCTTTTGTGATGGAGAAAATTCAAATATTGATGTGCTGTGGTACCAGTAGAGCAAAAGCTTCTCCTTTATCCCTGAAGCATTTCTCAAGTAGGAAATATTTTAAACCTTTAACTCGCACACAACTGCTTTTTTCTTGCAATATACAAAGAAATCACATTTGCAGTTTATGATTAACTGCCTTACAACATCAATGCTTAATATAAAAGAAGTCCACCTTTCCTGGACTCTTAAGTTGCTACATGATGTTCTCTTCTACCATAAAGTCTGAGATTAAAAGATAAATTCAAATTCCAGTTAGGCCTTTTTAATCAAAAGTTATCATTGATCCCAAAAGACTTAAACTAAGCAAGGAATAGAATTGTCTCTTGGCTGGAATTACCCAGCATGGTTGAAATGTGTTAGTAGTTAGAGCATGTCATTCAGGCTTCAGCGACGTTCTTGTACTCACCATTGTATTATGTTGGCACAATTAGGCTGGCTGAGTGTGCTGTCATCTAGAAATATTGTTGAGCAGAAGCTGTACATCCTGGGAAGCTGCCCTGGTGTTACCTAGAAGCAGTTGAGAGTACCAGAAAATGTCACAAGAAGTGAAACCCACAAGAGATGAGGGTTTTTTCTTGGTGAAAATGTCCAATGACAAACCATGCAGATGTTTCTGACAGTGCACAGACTGTTTGAGATCCATGTCATGTGGAAGGATCTGCAACTAGGCCAACTGCAGGAAATGCTATATTTTTCAGTGGTATTTGAGGTGTAGGTTCTAACAATCTGACAGAATGAATTCCTTTAGAAGTAATTAAAAGTTTTATAATAAGATTTCAAGAGTTTAACTTTAGCAATTAAAACTTGCACTAGGATATAATGCCTTTAAAATATAATGCTTTTAATACTGTTGGAAGCATAGTAATAGTTTCATTCACCAAACAAAAGTTTAATACATCCTTCATTCACTGACACTAAATGCATTAGTGCAATGAAACAAAGACTTCAAAGTCAAAGGACTCTGTAGCCGATATGCTGAGGCCCTATCAAGCCAGGCCTGTGCATCTTTCTGGGCCTGTGCCTTTACCAAGTTTTATGGTTACCCTTTAGCGTTCCCTCACATCTAAAGTAGAGGACAAAAACAATTTTGAGACGTTAGTGTTCCATTCATGTTTGGAGAACTAACATTACATCACTCCCATGGAAAGTCACTTCCACTCAAGATTGTTTTTTTTTAATTTTTCACTGGGCTTTGTGAGCTAATTTTGCTTAGGGAAGGGATGATCTGGGAGAAATGCAGAAAGTTCTCTGATTTCAGAAACATTTAGAGAAACAATGTGTAAAAAGGGACAGCACACTGTAAATATTATGGCATAACTCAGCAGTCATGATATTCATAAATATTAATCAATTATTTAATTGAAAATTTGTCATACATTTGCACTAAGTTGGAAATACTGTGATGGAAATAGTAAATGATGCATAATGCTAACACCTGATATATTAAACTGTTTACTTATAATTTTTCAAGCACTGTAAAAAGTAAGACAACAGATTTCAGGTAGATAGTTAACACTATGCTCATGTAATTGCAATGGAATTTAATTTATTTATTTTTGGTTTTGGTGGAACTGTGGACTGAACTCAGGCCCTTGAATTTGAAGTAATGGAATTTAAATACCAGTTGCTCTTAAACCTTGAAATTTGTAAGTCAAAACTTTTCTGAGCAAATTTGAAACATCTTTAGACAATGCATGTATTTAGAACATGCAAAAAAGTAAGTCTGTTTATACACAGTGACTTTGTTATATTTTTTAGAAATTCTAGCAGAGATAATTTAATTCATTGTGATATTTTTTACCTTTCCCAATATTTACTAACGTATTTCAAAGTGGTGTTCTGCTTCCAATCATGGGCTAAAAATCAAAAGTGAAAAACCCTAAGTAATCCATTCTAATATAAATGCCTTAGAAATGTATATAGAAGTGGCTCTAAGCATATATGTGATAGATATTGAATACCCAGAAAGAAATTAGAATCTATTTTATTTTTAAAAATGCATATTTGTGAGGATGAATTCCATAAAGTAAAAATTAAAATGTAGTTAAAAGTTCTTTATATCAACTTTATGCATTACGCAATAGACTCCTTATGAAAAAGAAAACCATAAACCAAATAGGAACAGGTGAGAAATTTGGTTAAGAAAGTTCACTTATTGCACATGTCAACCACTACAAAGACTTGTCAGATAAATAAAGAATAGTTAATAATTTGAAATTTCCATAAAACTTAATGAGAAGCAGCCAACTGCGGACAGTTCTGATACCAAGTTTCTGGCTAGGCACTACCCCCATCGGAACTAGAATTCCTGGAAGCATCTTGGATCACCTTATTGGAAATCTACGATGACATACATGAGTATTTATTTTACAGAATAAAAGTAGCCAAAAGAAAAAGAAAAAGCATTAGAAAGATAAAATGCTTTTATCTTTCAACAAAGTATGATGGATTTAACAAATGTTGCTGTATTGAATCATGTTGTCTTCCAAATAGTTATGTAGTTTTCCAGGTATAAACATGCAGAATTTGTTAAAATAAAAAAAGCAAAACAGAATGAAACAGCAATAGCTTTATAAGAAATTGAAAAGAAACAAAAATCTAAAGTACCATATTTTAAACATTCACTTCCTTTCAAAGACCAAACTAAATTGGCAGTACAATTATCCACATTACCACGTATAGGTATACATAAATGTCTTCTTCCATTCTTTCTTTTGTCTATTTCCTCATCCTAGTTGTTCCTTCCCACTGAACAAGTTCTTTCCCTTTCTTAGTACAAAGATATTGTACTGAAAATACATAACTAAAAATATTGGCATGTGTTTATATAATTCTACAACAGTCCACCTTATATAGGAAACTTTCAATGAGTGTGCTAATCTCACTGAACTTATCGATATCAACGAAATTCATTTTGGTCTAATAGAGGCCATACAGTAAATGCTTCCTGAGTGACATGGGCCATGATGTTTCCCACGATGCCTTCTTTACTGCTAGACACTGCTGCCTGCAAAGTCCTGTGTCCTAAAAGTAGGAGCACAGGTCGGCTTGTAGTGTATCGGATACATTACACAAGCAATGTCTATAGCTTTCTTCTTTCTTATAATGAGATTTAAATATTAAATAAATCAATTTAATTATTTATTTATTTGTTTTAGGGTCTTGCTACACTGCTTGGACTCAAAGGGACCATGATGTTTCAGTCTGTCCAGCACTGGGATTAACAGCCCTGGGCTCCATGTCAGGTTTCAGTGGCTGACACAGCACACCTTGGGTTTCTAGGGCTCACGCTGCATGCGGTACTGGGGATTGATCCTGAGTGCTTGTGCTTGCCAGGCAGCTGATTAGAGTATGCAACTATCTCACCAAAGCCCACAGCTCCTGAAGAAATGGACAATCACAGTCATGCTAACCAGAAATTACCAGCTCAAGAAAGTTTCTTTTAGTTGGACACAAAGGGAAATGCAGGTAAGAAACCCCATTTTCTTGTTTAACATTACTCCAATTATTTTAGAGGTTCCATTCCTGAAATAACACCTCTTACAATCAATTAGCAAATGTGATATATTATTTTTTAACAAAACAAAATGAAAGAAACCAAAGACAATTTAACCACACATGAAGAACAATTATGTTTACAGATATATGCATAGACATCTGATTCTAACCCTAATGTAAACAGGAATCAATGTCAATAATTTTCCAATAGTTACTCAAATTGCCTGACATTCTAGGAAATATCTGAGGAATTTGTTTCCAGATTTTTTTTATTAATATCAATTAGTTTTGACCCACTTTAAATATTTGGGAACATTCATAAAACCTTAATTTTATGTCAGGTAAGCTCACGAATATAGCACTGTTGTAGTGGATTAAGATGATGATTTAATATATCTCTCCACTGGGTTCCCATCTCTTTCTATAGCTACCTGTGTCTATCTATCTATGTATCTATCTATGAATTTTAAGTTTCTTGACATGACTATTTTAGGGTTACCTAAGTAATATCATTTCTCTTTAAAATATGCTCTGAAGAAAAATATAAATGGAATGAAATAATATGCAAAAATTTGTCTAAACCTGTGAACCCTAAGTTACTAATGTGGTCTACTGCCCTGCTGAAGAGCCAGCAAAATGTAATAAAGAAGAGTCCATAAGCTCTCAATTATACAGTGACATTTAAAGAAAATATATAATCAGGGTTTAAAAGGAAAATGAATGTATGAAAATTGAAAATTTGAAAGTAGTGTATAATTCCTTATAATTTGTAAAATATATCATATAACATAGCAACAGTTTTCAGATCTACCCTTCATTGGAAAAGTCATTCTTACCATATGATTGACATTTGCTTGGGAAGATTGGTGTTTCCTTTAGATGATCAGAAGGGTTTGATTCCAAAGCTACATCCAGAAAGGAAAAGGAAAAGATGTGATCATTTAGGTCAGTAGAAAAGTAGGTGGTTTCAACAACACTATACATCAGCTTTTCTCATGTTTAACAGTGTGGGAAATAGATTTTAGCTATGAGAAGTGAACAAGTCAGTTTCAAGGCTACAAAGTAATGTAAAATTCCATATCCCTTCGCACACATGAAGTCATATAGGCAATGTCTTACACTTATCCTCAACTTGTATCCGAAGAATTGATTGTAGCTTTTAAGTGAATGAAATGGACCTTTAGAAGAGCACATTCTGTCCCTCCTCCTACTTATCCAGTAAAGCTCCAATCAGAGGCTTCTGTGATTATTGCCAGCACATTCCAGGTTTCTGAGTAGGAAGACCTACCCTGAATGCACTGTCGGATCTTCATTCAAAGCACCAAATCCTTTAAAGCAGCTAACATTCTTTAGACAGTCCATCTTGTGGCTAATTGTGGCTGTGTTCAGTAAGAGAACTCTCACATTCAAAAGAGAAACTATTTTTAACAAGTGTGTCACTTTCCAAGGCTACGTACATCATTGATTTTTTTCTTTGGCCCTTAATTCCATCTTGGAGCAAAATTGAGACTCTGCGTTATTTCTACACTAGAAAACAGATTTTGAAACTTTGATTACAACTGCTTTGGTGTTGTAAGGGATAATAGAATTCACCACTGGGAGAGTGAGAAAATACAATGTTTGCACGTGGTAGAACTGATTTATTTCACTTTGCAAAATAGTTTGTAGCTGATTCCATTTATCTACAAAAGCCTCCAATTTATATTTTCTATAGCTGAGTAATACTGCATTGTGCAAAAATACCACATATTTTATATTTTTAATTTTACTGAGAAACAAATAGCAATGAGACCGTTTCTAAACAGGTTAGCAGGATTTTGTTTGTTTGTTTGTTTCCTTGTTTGTTTTGGTGCAGGGTCTCATTACACAGCCCAGACTTGTAGTGATTCTTCTGATTTCTGCCTCCCTAGCGCTGGAATTTTAGGCCCGCGCCACCATGCCTGGACACCATTACAGACTCAGCAAACCCGTGGGCCATGCCAGCGTGGCATGCAGATCCAGGGATTGAACTCTGGCCCCTGCACTTACCTAAGCAAGTGCTTAGTCCATTGAGCTATACCCCCGGCCAAAAAGAATTGATTTTTTTTTAATTTTTGGTGGAACTAGGGATTGCACTCAGACCTTTGCACTTCCAGGCAAGCAGTTATTCTACTGAGCCATTTCCCCAGCCCCCAAAGAGGTTAGTAGGACAGCTACAATAATTAATACATTGCATATTGTTGTCTTCATAGTAGTTATTCATAGTACAAAATACAGACAAGATATCCTGACCAAACACTATTAGTACAAATCTTTCTTCTCAGTGAATTTAAAGAAAGTAGCTGTATATCTATCTCCCTATTTTGTATATACAAATATATGTGTAATATA